CACTGATCACCGCTGACTCGAAGGCAGCTGTGAACTCCACTCCCCCAGAGCTCTGTGTCCAAACACAGCTTTGTGTCTCTATCATCGCACTCCGGGCGTCCACAGTGTCTCTCACTCAGGTCCTTTCATTTCCTTTATGGCCTCGGTAAATTATCCCATGCACTGCAGAGCAGGGAGACGTGCGATTTATGAGACCTACCTGCTTGGTCCTCTCAGCGGAAGATCCCCTCCGTGCACACTTTCCCCTCTTCACATTTTTCCTTTTTGGATTTTTAAGATATTTAAATAAAACGTTCCTGCCGGTGATGGTTTTCTAGAGATGGCCAGTTATTATCGCGGCGCGCGCGTGTGTGCGTGTGTGTGTGTGTGTGTGTGTGTGTGTGTGTGTGTGTGTGTGTGGGTGTATGCCTGCATGTGGAGGCCAGAGGATAACTATTATTCCTCCAGTGCTAGCCACATTTTCAAGTTCCGATTTTCATTTATTATTATTATGTACATCTGTGATAACTGGGGCACATCCCCGTGCCATGGTGAGGGGCAAAGGGCAACTTTCGGGAGGCAGTTCTCTTCCACCATGGGTTCTGGGATCAAGCTCAGGCAAATGTGGTGGCAATCACTCCCCCCCCCCAACCCCCTTTCTTTTCTTTCTGAGGCAGGTTTCTCACTGGCCTGGGGCCATGAGAGGCTGGATGGCGAACAAGCATGCCCCAGAGACATTCCTGTCTCTGCCTCTCCAGCACTGGGAATATAAACACCCAGTGTCAAGCACCTAAAGGCAGCTCAATCCCCCAAACTCCAGAAGTCAGTCCGAACATCCAGAGAGGAGCTCAACCTGAACTGTAGAAGGATTTCTGGTGCTTGGATAAAAGCCAGCACTCCCCAGGAACCTGGGAAGCTGGCTCCTGTCTCCCAAAGGGAGTCCTTTCCCTTACCTCTGGCAAAAGGGACACATGGACCTCCAGTGAATGTATACATGTGGCAGCCACCAGCATATCAGGCTCCATGCTGGCCCCCAGTCCTTACTCACAAGTACTTGTCGTACATTTCAAAACCTCTGTACCAGTCTCCCTGGCTTTTCTCCCAGCTAATCACTGGTCTTGTAACCCTGCTGTCCTCACTATGCTCTCTCTATTCTGTCCCTGCTGTTCTCTCTCTCTCTCTCTCGCTCTCTCTCTCGCTCTCTCTCTCGCTCTCGCTCTCGCTCTCGCTCTCGCTCTCGCTCTCTTGCTCTCGCTCTCTCATATTTACAATAAAAACCTTCCCCTTAACCATACCATGGAGCTGTCATGTCAGCAGTTTCTTTACTGCAACCCCCTGCATACATCCGGTATAAAAGAATATCATTTTTATTATTTTTAAATACTGTGTATCTGTGTCAGTATGTGCACATGGGTGCTGGTGCCCTCAGAGTCCAGAAGAGGGTGTCAGATCCCCGGGAGCTGAGGTTGTAGGCAGTTGCGAGTTACCCCATGAGGGTCCTGGGAATCAATCACATCCCCTGCTGGAGTAGTACAGGGGCTCCTAACAGCTGAGTCAGCTCTCCATCACCATGCCTGGCATCCTGCTGGAGTAGTGCAGGCTCCTAACAGCTGAGTCAGCTCTCCATCACCATTTTACAAGGGTTTGGAGGATTGAACCCACAGCCTGGGGCTTTGGGGCTTTCAGGGCAATCACTGACTGAGCTGCCTCTCAGGTCCGGTCAGTTTTCTTCTCCGCATCTCCCAGGGACCCCTGAGCTCCTTCCCTCACCGTGTTTTCCACCACCTCCCTGGCCCTTGGCCCACGCATTCATTTTGAGTGCTGGTAGGGCCTAGAGATTCAGCGCTCACCAGAAACAGGAGCTGCTCTCACGGAGGTGGTTAAGGGAGAGGTGGCAGTCACATGTGTGTTCAAGGTGGTGACCGCAGGCAGGCAGACACAGAGAGCAGCCTCTGCTGAGCTGAGGTGGACTCCTGGGCTCTGCTGTGGGAACCAGGCAGGGAAGCAAATGGAGTTTCCTGGAAGTGTCTAGATTTGACTGAGCTGTGTTTGTGTGTTTTTATGTCTGTGGGGTTTAAGTTGGTCATCTGACTGTGGTAGGAAACCTGGGGAGATGTGACAGGTAGAGGGAGAATCATCCCCTGGCAGAAGCTAGGAGACAGGCTTCTGGGTGTGCCCCTGCTGTATTCAATAAACCCAGACACAAATGGTGCGTGGGTATGTGCACGTGCATGTGCACAAGTGTGAGTTCATGAGTGCATGTGCGCATGTGTGCACTTCTCCATAGCTAACTAATCCAGACAACTGAACTCACCTTGGGAATTCAAAACACCATCTGACTAGGTTTTTCCTGAAGACAAAACAGAGTGCTGGACTAAGAATTTAGGGTTCTTTGTTTCCAAATCAAGGCCAGCACTCTCTCTTGTCCTATTTCTCTGTGGCGAGACCATTACTTGGATTTGCTTTTCCCTATTCAAGTGCTGAAGAACGTCTAAAAGGCACCATTTACCTTTTTGAGTTGAAGCATCACTTCTGGCCAGCCTTGGTTTGGCTTTTATTCACTTTGCTCCTTGTATCCATTTTCGGTATCTAGAAATAGATGGGATCCCGAAACAGGTCGAAATAGACTTGGGTGGCAGTAGCTGAAACTCTGTCTGACATGCCGATGCGTCTCCCTGGAAGGGAGGCTCATTTCATGCAGAATGGTACTTGAGAATCCATCTTACCGCTTGTCGACTCAGCAAGAGCCCACACATCCCTCGGTAGCCACTCTGATTATTAATCTAGATGCCACAAAATTCTGTTAAGAGTGTTTATTTTTCTCAATCTCCAAAAGGGAGAAGAAGAGAATGGGGACCTATCACTTCAATAAAAGCATGAAAGTCATGCAGTTGCTGTGACTATATTATCAAATTCTCGAATTAAAAATTCTAAATGAGAGCTAGGGAGATGGACTACTTACCATGCGAGCATTTGGACTAGATTGAGATCTCCAACATCTGTGTTAATGCTGAGTGGGCATGGAGGTCTGCCTGTAATCCCAACACCCAGGAGATGGAGACAGGATTCTCAGAGCAAGCTAGTTAGTTAGACTAGCCAAATTGGTGAGCTCTTGCTCAATGTATAAGGTATACAGTGACCAAGGAAGACACTGGACATGAACTTCTGACTACTACATGCATATGCACTCAAATACAAAATATTTTATTATATTTTATTTACTATTACTGTGTATGGTATACCAATAATCCCTGAAAATTGTTATTAAAAAGTTAGTTTGTAATATATTAATATTATATCAAAATACATTAATGATGAAAGCATAACAGAGTTTGTAACAATATAAGCAAGTAATTTATGGAATTAAAGACGTCTCAGTTTTTTTCTCCCCCCTCCAATCCCTGCACCTGTGTTGGAGATTCTGCAAGGCTGATGAATTGCCCAGAACATTGCAAAGCTACAGCCCAATTATCATGGGTTTCCTTAGTAGTTATTTGTTGCCTACCTCTGAGTGTGAACTAACACCTTTTCAGCTATCAGGCAAAACCTCTGGAATGTAATAGCTTACTCACCATTGTTCACCAAACCCCAAGCTAAGAATATCATCAGTAAAACCTAAAATCTATAACAGAGTTTCCCCCACTACACTATAACCTGCTGCTTACCGGGTGTTCCCACCAATGCGCTGGGAAAACACCTTGATTTATGGCTTTCCTTTGTTCTGTCAATACAGAAGTTCACGTAACCGCTTTCATGTTGGTACACGTTGTTCCCAGGTCACGAGCAGTCACCTTTGGCTTTGAATAAATTATATATCGTCCCCTTTGCTGTGAGCGCTGTGTTTTGCATGGACGCTGAATGGGAACAAACGAGCGCCAGGCAGTAAGTTTAAATTTGAGAAGTTTCCAGTGATTTTATAATTAAGAAGTGGAACGCGTTCTTTCTGAGGACTACGAACAACGTGGTAAATTGGAGAACAGACCAGAATGAATGGAGGCGTTTTAAATGGCAGACAGGACACATGAGCAGGTTAAGAATTTCTCTTTTGACTGGAGAGGGCCACAGAGGTGGTTGGTGGAGTCGTCCACTGTCAGCCTGGCTCCTGGGCTAGCCCAGAGGGTGGATCTAAGGCCAGTGTGAGTCATGCCCATTGTTCTCTGTTCAGAGTGAAAGCCTTCCCGGTGGGATGCCTAAATGGAAGTGGGAAGTGATAATGAAGGTTAAAGTGTGCACCTGGGGGACAGGGAATGTGATGTCCATGAACCCAAGAGAAGCAAGCTAAGGTATGCACGCAAAGCGAAAAGGAAAAGTTGGTCACTATCCAATGATTCAGCCAGAGCAGACTCCAAGAAGACTCTGAAATAGGACAATGGTGGACTATTGGCCAGGAAAGGGTGACTTCAATAACTGTTGATATTTAGTTTATATGGCCGAAGCCGTTAATCAGGAAAAAGAGAAAAATCCATGCTTAGGATTGGATTACTCTTGAATGACCTCCCTTGGAAATCACTGTTCCAAGCTCTGTCAGTGCTCAGGGATCCTGGTGTTTCAGGCAGTGAGTAGCTTTAGGCCAAACCGGTTTAGTCAGCTCTAAGGAGGCCTCAGAGTCAGCATCCAGATCCAAGCCAGCCTCCCAGCTCCAGCCTTCCCTCTTCCAAGTGCCTCTGCATGCCCCACTTCGTCCCCCACTCCACCTGACAACCTCCTTCAACGGTTAACCCCCGCAGTTCATTATAACAAGCTGTTTTAACAGTTTCACAAGAGTTAGTCACCCCGAGAGGTTTCAGAGCTCTGCTGTGACTGGAGACTGGCACCAGCAAAGCTCCCCCCAATAAGGAGAAGGTCTGGCTTGGAGAATTGCGCTTTAGAGTCATGCATTCACCGGTAATAGTTTGCCTGTGTCATGAGCTTGAGACTAGTCAAGCATATTAATGTTCAGGACCAATGAATCTATGGTAATTTATAAGAATGTGCTTTGAAAACCTGAATTCCAAAGCTCTTGTCCCTTCTCTTTGTAACAGACCACTTTTGGAGTATGGTGGAGATGTAAACCCCCTCCAAGGAGAAACACACACCAAAAAGCTTCTACCTGTAGAATCTGGAATGCTAATTTGAGAATTCCATGTGTGTTCTGACATGTCATAGATCCTCTAAGCTAACAGGATTTGTAAGTACAAAATTATATGAAGCATATGTTTTTAAATATGTAGAATTATATTTTTACACAAACCTCAATAGTACACAGGAAAAGATATACGTAGGTAGAGCAAAACTTGGAAAGATGCGTGCTATGACGTGAATGCTTGTGTAGTATCAGTGAGATTGTAGATGATTTAAATTTTCTATGAATTTTGTCTTTTTTAAATTTAATTGTATTTTTCTCTAGTTTATTTTCACTGAAGCAGTTGCACTTATGACAGATCTTCAAAACAGAAGACAGAGCTATCAAAAGCAAATCTAAAAAGACACTTGGGTAGATGCTGAGTGGCTGCTGGGTATAGATTCCCTACCTGCCTCTGGGATCACGTGGATCATGGGAATTTTCCTCCTGGCCTTCTGAGTGGCTCAGATGTGGGCTCCTGACTCCAGCTAAACCCACCAGTGTCTTTTCTGAAGAGTGTGTGGACAATGACTAGCGAGGGGCCAGCTTTTCTTTGGGGACAGGGTAAGAGCATTTGGAGTTGGGGGGGACTTTTTCTGCTTGCCTACAGGACATAGAGAAAGGCAGGTGGCTACTGAGTCCCCGGCTGCAGCTGCCTTTGAGACTGGTAGAACCGGCACCCTTTCTGAATTCTGAATCTTCAGTTCTTCCCATGATTCTACAGAAGCCTCTTGCTCTTCTTTCGTTGTTGTTTTGTTTCGTCTGAACTAGTTAGAGTTTGATTTCGGGCACATGGACCAAGGACACAGTTAAGAAAATTCAAGAAGAAAGCATAACCCCTGGTTTGAAATACACGAAATTACCAGCACTTCCTGACTCCACAGGTCATAATTGTCTGTGTGTGTCTGGCCTTGGGGAGGACCGAGAGAAGAACACGAAAGAGACAAGTGAGGATGACTGGCTAAGCTCTTCGGATCATCCTGTCTGTTAAGGAGGCAGAACTCATCCTGGCTGCAGGAAGAAACAGACAATACCAGGATTGTTCAAGCTAAGGTTATGACCATAAACATTAAATTGCTTCTCTCGCTTACGAATGTGATGTACAGGATAACACATTTACAAGGTTGTGAAGGATATGTGTGCTTTTTTTCTAATTCAATGAGTTAGAAAGCAATCCTAGCACTAATTGGGCAACTGAAGGTATCTATGCTTTGCTAAAACCTCAGCAAATTGATAGAGATAGTCTACAAAAGAAACTCTTCTACATGTGCACTTGTGTTCTTCAAAGTCAGTGTGTCCATGACTACTGGGACTTGATTATTCTAGGAGCACTTGAAACAGTGAGCCTCCAGAAGGAATGTGTAGCTGGAAGCTTTCTTGTGTCCTGCCCAGTCTGCAGACCACTCATAAAATAATCACTCAGAAACTTATATTAATTATAACTGCTCAGCCATTAGCTCAGGCTTATTACTGACTAGCTCTTACACTTAAATTAGCCCATAATTCTTATCTATGTTTAGCCACATGGCTTGGTACCTTTTCTCAATTCTGCCTTGACATCTTGCCTGCTCTGTGTCTGGCTGGTGACTCCCTTCCTCTTCCCAGAATTCTCCTTGTCTGCTTGCCCCACCTATACTGGCTACCTGGCTGGCTACTGGCCAATCAGCATTTTATTTATCAACCAATCAGAGCAACACATTCACAACATACAGAACGATATCCCACAGCAGGAATGTCTTGTTTGTCTCTCTCTCTTTCTGTCTGTGTGTAGGCATAATGACAACATCGGGGTGCCATTCCTTAAGCGCTATCCACTTTATTTTATTTTTTTGAGACAGAGTCTCTCACTGGCCTGGGACTTGCCAAGCAGTTCAGGATGGGTAGCTAGTGAGATCCAGGGTTCTGTATGTCTCCTCCACAGCCTGTCAGTGGGATTACAAACGAGCACAACTGTATCTGGCGGGTTTGTTTGTCAAGTGAGTTCAAGAGAAGGGGATTGAACTCAGGTTGTGACACTTGCAAGGAAAGCCCTTCACCAACTGGGCCATCATCCTGGTCCCGAAGTGATCCTCGTAGTAATGATCTTCTTAACTGAAATAGAATTTATCCAAGTGAAAAGCTTCAACTTTCAATCCAGTTCTATCTAGATCCATACTGAACATGAAGGAATGAAGGTGGTTAGATTTCATTTTAGTGAGTTCAGACTATTATAATATGGGCGAGAGGAAAGGAGGGGAGAAGAGAGGAGGAAAGAGAAGAGGAGAGGAGAGGAGAGGAGAGAGAACAGACAGAGGCATCTGGAAGAGTCCAGGGTGGAGAGAGAAAGAAGTAGACTGAACATGGCCAGCCTCAGTGGGGGCAGAGAATGGAGAAAGCACACTGAGAATAGCCTGGGCAGAGGAAAAAACCAGCCATTATAAAAATAACAAACAAGTATCCGAAGGAGGGAAGCCTGCGGAGGTGAGAAGGGCTAGTGTGGGCTTTGAAACGTGTAACAGGTACTAGTGATACCGAGGAAGCAGGGAGGCCAACACGGGTTTTGATATTCACCCACAGGCAGCCATTTTGCCCGTCTGCCAGAGGGGAAGAGAAAGGACTCCTTTTGGCAGATGGGAACAAGTTCTCGAGGAATGCTGGCATTTCTCTAACCACCAGAAATTTCTATAGTCCAGCTTGAGCTCATTTCTGGATAGATGGACTGCCTCTCCGAGCTCGGGGAATTGAGTTTCCTTGGACCAGACAAAAGGATGGTGTGCCTCTACACCGTCTAGGTCCAGGCTTCAGTGTCATCCTTCAAGGAGGTCTGACAAATTGTTAGAACTGTTTGAGATTGCTTTCCAGAGACAAACTCCCTGCCTGGCTGGGGTCTTTTTCTTCTTCCAGCATGGGATTCCTGGGGAAATTCCCATTCTTTGGGGTCTGTTCTTTCAACAGTCTGGTTGAGAGACACAAGTATCTCTTTAGATATCTTCATTTCTGGCAGGCAGGGTTGCGAGCCAATAGAATAAACGAAATCTATCTACAATCTGAAGAGGTTTTATTTGTGCTATTTTATTTATTTTTATGCTATTTTAAGAAGCAGGAGAAGAGTCTGCAGGCAAAGGACCATAGTCCCTGTAGTCAGGAGTGTTTGTGAATCCAAGGGCCTGAGGCTCTCTGTGGAGGAAGTCAGCATGTGGCCTTACCCTGCCCTTGCAGGTCTGCCTTTTGGGTTAGTCTGACCAGTCAGGTAAACCGCTAGTGGCCTGGATTAGCCAACATTCCCAAGCGGGGGGGGGGGGGGGGGGGGGGGGGACCTATGGAATTCACATTGTTCTATGGTTAAGTTTCAAACCCAGGGCAAATGGCTGAGGTACCTATTGAACATGTCAAAACAGACCTGGCTGCCAGATTCTCACAGGATCCCCCAGTCCCTACTTATTACAAGGTAGGCCCTGCCCCCTACCCTGAACTCTCCAGTCTAGGGGGCTGGGCTGCTTTTCCCAATATAATCCAACCATTTTGGTTGCCCACTTTTTTTGTATTTTTGGGCCTCCTGGCTGCTGCACCTGGTTTCCCCCTCCCCTGTCGCCCTTCCCCTACCCATCTCTCACATGGTCCAGCTCAGGTTGGACATGTCCACTCTGGCCTCTCCAAGATGTCCAGATCCCTGCCTATGACTATGCTCTCCCACATGTCTTTAATAAACTTTCTCCTCCGCCATACCTAGATGCAGTCATGTCCCTTCTCTTTTCTTTTGATTTCTTTTTTTCATTCACTTATCTCACCTGGTCATTATCATGATGAAGTGTCTGGAAATCCAGCGGTGAACTGAATGTCTCAGGTGGGGAGGGGGTAAGTGGGATCGAGGTTGGCCCTGATATTTTTTTCTTCTTCTCCACCCAATACCCTCACCCCAAGCATTTCACATTGATCTTCAAGGACTTGAGAAAAGGAACACTTTTCTTATGTCTACTCAGCGAACCTCTCGTCTTAATCCAGACACACTGGTATCTTCCCCTTTACTTCCTCAAGACTAAGAAATGTGCTAAAGTGATGGGTAGAATGTGGGGAAGATTTTACCAGGTGAAACATTGACCCAGGTTAGGTTGGTATCTGCAATTATAATTTTTTAAAAATCCCAAATTGTTTTGTTTGAGGCAGGGTTTCACTGTGTAGCTCTGGCTGTCCTGAAGCTCCCTTTGTAGAGCAGGCTGTCCTCGAACTCACAGAGATCTGCCTGTCTCTGCCTCCTGAGTGCTGGGATTAAAGAAGTATGACACCACTGCCCAGCTGAGTTATTGTTTGTTGTGGAATAGAATATTTAACTATGTAAAGATGTGTTGTATTTATTTGTGTTGCAGAATAATTGTTCAACTATGTAAAGATGTGCTGCATTTGTTTAACTATGTAAAGATGTGTTGCTGTTTTACCTTGCCTGCCTAAGGCACCTGATTGGTCTAATAAAAAGCTGCATGACCAATAGCTAGGCAGAAGAGGGGTAGGTTGGGTCTGGTGAGCAGAGAGAAAAGGGGAGTCAGCCAGCTGGGGAGGTGTGAGGGGATTGTGTGTGTAGATGGATTTTTCTTTGGTGTGCTAGCTCACACACACATACAAAAAAAAGACACAGATACTTATTATTAGTTACGAAAGCTCAGCCTATAGCTTAGTCTTTTCCAATTAGCTCTTATAACTTTAATTAACCCATTTTATTAATTTAGGTTTTGCCTTGTGGCTTTTTATCTCTCTTCCATCTTGCACCTCCTGTTTCCTCTCTGTGTCTCTGGCATCTCTCCCATGCCTAGATTCATCTCTTCTTCTCTCTCTGCCTAGTTATTGGCCAGTCAGCTCTTTATTAAACCAATCAGAAGGTGCCTTGATAAAGACACATCTTCACAGTGTATAAAAAGATTATTCCGCAATGGGGGGGTGGGTGGGCAGGCAACCAGCCTGGGGCCAGCCAGACACGGAAGAATCAGGAAAGCAGGATGGACAGCATTTAGAGGTAAACAAACCTCAGGGCAGCACATAGATCAATAGAAATGAGCTAATTTAAGTTTAAAAAAAAGCTAGCTATGTAGATGTAACCAACCGTCTTATTAAATAAGAAACACAGAGCCGATTCAGAGAAGAAAGCCAAGAGGTCAGAGCTAAGAGCCTCACCCTTCCTGCTTCAGCTATCCTCTTCAGTCAAGAGAGCTCTCCGAAAAGGGACCTACTTCCTGTGTGTATGTCTTTATATACTCTAGCTGTTCTGCCTTCTCATTGGTTGTAAACCCAAACATGTGACTGCCTCGTCACTGCCTGAATGTACCGCCCTCCAGGTCCTTAAAGGCGTGCGCCACCGCCGCCACGCACTTGCTATGGCTCTAATAGCTCTGATCCCCAGGCAACTTTATTTATTAACATACAATTAAAATCACATTTCAGTACAAGTAAAATACCACCACATAGCTAGAAACAAGCCTAAGCTAAGGCTGAACATTCATAATTAATAAGTCTCTGTGTCGTGATTTGGGGGCTGACAGTCATGAAAGACTGCTACAATTGTTTTTTATAATTTTGCTTTGTTGCAGGGCTGAGGACTGAACACTAGGGCCCTGCCTCTGGTTGTCCTGCTGTTTCATTGGCCAAGAGTTCGAATTCTGCGTTCCTGTCAGCTTGCTAGAACACTGAAGTTATGTCCCATGACTAAACAAAAATATGAATAATTTCCTGCACATTGGCTACAGCAGCATAATTCAGACAAAAGCCTGGTAAACGGTATTTTTAGACAGGGGCCTTCTAGAACCAATACAACTGTGTGACCATGTGACAGTGCAAATATTTCTGTCTCTCTGAGCTGTAGTTTCTTAATCCACAAAACTGACTACATCTGAGACTGGTAAAACATACGTGACAACATTTTCAAACATGACACGGTGCTGTACAAATGTACAACAATTATGTTGAACTAAGTGTTACCTCATATTCTTAAGCTATCCAATTCAATATAACCTTTGTATTTTCAGCCTACAAATTCTGAAACATGGCCGGGCGGTGGTGGCGCATGCCTTTAATCCCAGCACTCGGGAGTCAGAGGCAGGCTGATCTCTGTGAGTTCGAGGCCAGCCTGGTCTCCAAAGCGAGTACCAGGAAAGGCGCAAAGCTACACAGAGAAACCCTGTCTCGAAAAACCAAAAAAAAAAAAAAAAAAAAAAAAAATTCTGAAACATAATTGAAAAACTATTTCGAATTTAGCATCTTTCACTGCTACACATTACATTGAAAACTCTTTGTATGAATGGATATGAAGACCAGACATTGGTTGATGTTTGAATCATCAAGGTTTAACCGACTAGTACATTTGTAATTCTGGAAGCCTCACACCTTCTAACGGCTTCATCGAGAGAACGGTGTACAAGTTGATGACTGTGCATGAGGACAAGAAGATGTGTCTGATGCCTGCTTTCCTTAGGATGTAATTCTGAGACCAGTTAGTTACAGTGTGCTTGAGGCTGACCTTTAGGATCCTAAAATCAGACGCTTGCTTTTAGGTGAGTTCCACCCCAATGGGCCTGCAGCCCTGTGAGAAGATCGACTTTTGACCCTTCATCTTCGCTACAGCAATTAAATAAATCACTTTGTTTCTGTGAGTCAGTGCTCTGCTGTCTGGACATGCTTGCCTGAAGTCAAGTAATGATTCGTGTAAGAGAAAAGAAATTAGATGGCCAGCAAAGACATGTGTTAAGGGGGAAAAAATCAAAACAAAGAAACTCTGTGCATTTGGGGTCGAGAAAATTAGAGCCAAGATTCTCTACATCCCCCTGCCCCGCCCCACACACCATGTCCTGGTGCATGTAGAAAATATTAGATGTGTATAGTCCTCAGGGGTTGAATAGAGGGGGGTGGGGTGGGCCCTCGTCCTAGCTGCTTATGGCTACTGAGGTCTATGATGGCCACTGGGAGCCCTGCCTACTGCTTAGGACAATGAAGAGGAGGGAAGAGAAATCACATTAACCTACCTCAGCTCATTCGCACAACCTTCAATGAGATCTCTGTCTACGCTAGTCAGCTCTTGCACACATGTATTTCCTGGATATGGCTTCTTGAGCTTGAAATACTGAGTTAACACCATGCACTCCTTTTACGCCATTCAGTTCAATAAGGAAGCGTGCAAGGAACACTTTGCTGCTAATGAAATCCGTCACGCAGCAGCTTCCGTTTCTGGCTTCTGTCTTTGCTTGACTCTATAGGGCACGAGTGCGGCCAATGAGTTTCCCTTTGCCCCGTAGGCCCACTGGAGGCAGAATTCACCCAAAGAGTCTTATTTTCTGAGTGACAGCCATTGGGCAAACCCTGATGAAAGGCAATGTTAGAAAGCCCAATGGGAATTATGCTTGGGAATCAATCAGCCTCTTAGGATACAGAGCCTGAAGAAAGAATAGGGGTCGGGAAGGGAGGCCAATCATCTAACCTGTTAATTAAATCAGAGACTAGAGAAGCAGTTGCTTTGGATGAATTTCCTGTTCTGAATGTCCAAGGTTCCTCATTGCCTTGGGGTAAAAATGAATATTTTCCCGCAAGTCCTTAACAATCAGGCACAATTTTATCTTGTGTCTTATAAACAGTGAAAAATAGGGAGGTGGGTTTCATATGCACACAAACAGGAGGAATTGCTTGAGCAGTAGTTCTCAACCTGTGGGTCCCGATCCCCCACCATGGTCACGTATCAGATATCCTGCACATCAGATATTTACATCATGACTCATAACAGTAGCAAAACTACAGTTATGAAGTAGCAACGACATAATTTTATTGGTTGGGAGGTCAGCGCAAATGTATTAAATGGTTGCAGCATTAGGAAAGCTGAGAACCACTGTTTCTGAGCATGCCTGTTTGTTTCTGCGTTCCTCCAGGCCATTTGGGGGGTTCTGAAGTCTTTTCTCTATTTTCCAGACAGCGTTTACACAGATCTGCACCAAGGACCGAGTACTGCTTCAGATCTGCCCTCGCCCTTGCATCACCCAGCCATTCCACTGAGGTGCAGCTCAGACCCCAGAGAAGTTGTCTCCTTATTGAGATCTTAGACACCATATTTAGCCACCCTGCATCTTTTGCGCCTTAAAGAATGTACACAGAATGTTATCTGAATTTCTGTTTTTAGTTCAGACCCAGCTTTTTTGACATCCTCATACAATCTTGATTTTTTTCATTGTACAATTTACCTTTATAGCTGCAATAAGAGTAGTCTGAGAAGTAACCGATGTAGTCCACCACTCAAGGACCAAGTTAGAGCCGGGCAGTGGTGGCGTACGCCTTTAATCTCAGACCTTGGGAGGCAGAGACAGGTAGATCTCTGTGAGTTTGAGGCCAGCCTGGTCTACAGAGTGAGTTCCAGGATAGGCTCTGAAAGCTACAGAGAAACCATGTCTCAAAAAAAAAAAAAAAGGGACCAACCTACAATTCCAATCATGTTGTGAATATACAACCTTCCCAGGATAGGTGACATGATAAAAAAAAAAAAATTAGTTTTAAATAAATAGTAGGTTTAAAATCATAGCAATAAGAAAACAGTGTAGTTAGATCCTTGGGCATAACCTTCAATCCCACCATGTACAGTACAAACTGAGAAGCTAATCCTTGCAGCCTGAAGTCAGGGTAGGAAAGGCTTTAAATGTGTGGGTTCCTGGAAGATGCACCGGAAAATCTTGGGTGCTGGCAGGGTCTGCCTCCTTGAGTGGAAGGGTGTTATATGTGAGTGGCATTCAGCTTATGGAGATACATGTTGATGTACACTTATGACATTCACAGATTTGTACAGGTCTATCACACATCAAGACAAAGGTTTTCTGAAAAAAAAACAAAACAAAACAATAAACCCCAAATGGGTCACATGACTTAGAGAAGCTAATGATCTATTGACCGAGGGGGACTGTGTTACTGTGTTTTATTCACAACAACCATGGGTTCCTTCTGGACCACAAGGCTCTGATGAGTGGAGGGAAGTCACTCCATATGGGAGAAGCAGAAAGCTTGGAAAACTCTTGGAATCTGGAGATATTGTTGTGGATACAGCTCCCCCTAGTGTATTGAACAACACAGGTACCCTGCACAGTGGCCAGGCCCTGCTCTCCCTTCCCCAGCCTGGTCTGAACCACTTGAGATCTGTTTAGCATGGCCAGCCTTTCTCTTCCCTAATCAACCACAGGTCAGGGAAGAGAGTGGGACAGATTTCCTGCATTCCTATGAGCACCGATAGACATGGGCGTCGTGAATTCACTTGAACTGTGCAAATACTACAAAAATATTAAACATATGTTAGAAGTATATTCATTTACTTCATTATTAGTTGCTCACAACTACAGGGTATCACCATGTAGACCTGGCTGTCCTGGAACTTGGTATATAGAGTAGCTGGCCTCAAACTCACAGAGATCTACCTGTCTCTGCCTCCCCAGTGCTGAGAGTAAAGGTGTGTGCCACCATGCCTTTACTTTTGAAAGTTTCTACACTAGTAGGTTTCCATATGGCATTTTCAAAAGTCTTTATTAGTAGTATTTTCCATACACCTCCTCTGCCCTGCCCACCCATCACCCCGTGAAAGGCAGCCTATGCTCCAACAGATTGTCCAACACTCATGCACATACAAGCAGAACTAAATGGACTCAGCGGGTGTAAGAGAAGGGGAATGGAGAGGGGGAGGGAGAGAGAGAGAGAGAGAACATGTAAAGAGGTTGGGATGGGACACTGGAGGAAGAATAGGGGAAGAATTGTAGAGGACCGAATGGGAGGTGGATTGGACCCAAACACATTACAGGCATACATAAATATTAAATAAAACAAAGTGATTTCAGAAAGAGTTGCCACATTTTTCTTGATGTAGGAGAACGTATGTAAGGGAGACTGAGCAAAACCAAAAGATGATTCTGAGCTATGCAGAATTCACTAAAGGGTTTTTTTGTCTCCATCTCGTACTTATCAAAATGCGTATCACCTGCAAATGCGTGTTCCTTGAGCAAGACACTTGTAGCCTCTGGAAGCAGGAGGAAGGCAGCTCCTCCCGTGAGGTAACTGTACTCCGTGGCTTATCCAACAGGATGCTGGTCTGAGCGTTTGTCTCTGGAATACCCATCCCTCAGGATGTCAGCGGATCTCGCTCAGGTAAGGGTTCTACGCCAGACAATGTTGAAGCATTTGGGATTTAGCAAAGGTAAATAATTTTTAAGGAAACTGCAATATGCCTCAGAGCCCTCACGATGCTGTTACTACGACACCATATGTCGGGACAGCACTTGAAGAACTGCGGTATTTCCCAAATTAGCACGTTGTTATTTTTTTCATGCTTATTTTCACAAACTCGATCCATTAATTTTCCTTTGGGGATACATACTGGGCCTGGATTTCAGTATCTTTCCATCATTGCCAGAGAAGAAACAGCACAGTGGGCCGGCAGGAGAGAATACTGGGGCTGAGATAAATAGGATGGCCCGGGCGACATTTGTGGTCAGGGTCGCAGCTCTTTGCCGTGTGTGAAAACTGGTACTGTAGTGTGTTAAAGTTTCACACTTTAACACAGCCCTAGAGTGGATGTGGAGGGACCAAGACACTGTAGACAACACCAGTCCATTATCTCACTCCCCCACGGAAGGCAGCAGGAACCCACAAAGGCACTACTATAACTTCTACTTTCTTTTTTCTTTTGTCACAGCTGTGATTTGACTTCTAAGAATGAGAATCAGGACTTCAGAAGTACAGGATCATAGACTGCTGATTTCCACTACTTTTTTTTTTTTTTTAAATCAAAACTGTTCCTTACGACAGCCAGACATGGTGGTGCACGCCGCTAATCTCATCACTCAGGAGGCTCAGGCAGGGGAAGTGTGAGTTCGAGGCAAGACTTTGTCTCAAAAGCATGAAAACAGAAACAAACGCAAAACCCTCTTTTTGTGTGCGGCCTCTGTGAGAATTCACATCGCTCTTCCTCTTGTGGTTGTGATTAACAGGATCCCAAGCCCACAAGAGACTTCAAAGAAGTCAGAGGAAGCACGGTGTGACGTAGGGTTGTGACGTAGGGCGGGTGAGATGACTCCTGAAAGTTGTCCTGTGACAACACATGCACCCGGGTACCTCATATGCTCTCACAC